ACACGTATTGTTTTATCAGCTCCACTTACCATATTGGTGCACTTCGTAGTTCTACAATTACAGACTGTAGTCCATCTGTTTCTCTGCATACTTTGTTAGCCCCCTTTTACCCTGTTTTTCAACAGTCAGGACCCTCATGGACCCTCACAGAGCGGGTATTATTTGGGTGATGAACAACTCTTAGCACTGCAGGAACACTGACATGGTGGTGTGTGTTGCACTGGTAAGAGTGGATCAGACACAGCAGTGCTGCTGGTCCTGTTGGGGTCCTGACCAAAACAAAGTGAAAGGGGGCTAACTAACTGCAATTGTACTACAAAGTGCACCTCTATGATAAGTGGATCCAGGGTCCATAATATCCAAATAAAAATTATATTCAATACTGCTTTAAAACATTTTACATGTAAGAGGCTTGTGACACACAAAGCACAAAATACTTGGATGTATAGCTTTTATGAGGGTTACTTGGTGTCACACTTTTGCTGACCAGTGACAGTCTTGCTCGGGGGGATTGATGGAGAAGCAGGGAACTGAAGCAGGTCCAATTTTTCATGAGATACAGTCATGCTAAAGTTTGAGCACCTCTGATTAAAAGATATCTTGTTGATTTTCCAAACGAAAATAAGTTAAAACAGCTAGAGAACACACTTCTGCACATTTTAATGCACACTTACTGCTTATTTGCTGCATATTATTTATTTAACATATTGAAAAAAATCATGAAATGTGGTCTGTGCAAAGGTTATGGCACATTTTATATTTTATATTTTATTTTTGTCCAATATGTTTAACTCAGCAAATAAATAGAAACTGTGCACTAAAATTTTCAGGGAAATGCCATATTTAAGTGTGTTCTCTCTAAAGGATATGTTCACTTATTCTTACTTCCAAAAATCCGCAAAAAAATCTTTTGACCGGGGGCAAATAAACTTTGGCTTATGACTATATAACAGGAGAATTACGCGGAAAAAAAAAACTGCCAACCGGGAACAGAAAGGAACAACGTGAATTAAGTAAAAACAACAGAGTTTTTACATTACTCAAAACATTTAGCACAATATATTCCACCATCATTGCTTTTTCATGTATTTGGCTCAACACCGGACATAAATCAACTCAGTAAATAAAAGGAAAACACCATAGAATCACACATTTTATAAGCAAAACACAAAATGTAAAACATTAACTTTGGGTTAAAATATAAAAAAATTCAACACCACTAAAATTCCTTTTTGCAGGTTTATTTTTTTCCACATCTCCAATGTAGTTTTATTGGAAGATAAAATGACAAAAGGCACAAATTCACAGTAAAAGAAACAAAAACAGATGACAAGGAAGGGAGTGACATCAAACAAACAAACAAAAAAATAAATTAAATGAACCATTTCTAGTTTGGAATAATCAATTTGTAAATCTGACGACAAAATGTGGAGTCTAAGAACAACATAGCTATGAGAAAGTCTCTTTGCGCCATTATCTGCTTTATGTATAGGCAAAGTAATCCGTTCAGTCAGCTCTTGAGTCACCCGCTATTCAAATTCCCATGTGGTCTTGAAAAGGCTCTGCCCTATTTGCACTGGCCTGGGACCAGTTTCTCCTGCTTAGATCCTGAGAATAAAGCTGTTCTCAGACCAGCAAAAAGGGGAAACGTCTGCCAAAGCCTTCAAAGAGCCTTAGAGTGAGAGCCGCCGTTAGAAAAGAGAGAGACCACCACAGCTCAGAGACTGACGACATACTGCAGGTACAACGACAGTTAGAACAAAAATATATTTAGACACTATCCTGCCAAAGGGGAGGAGTCGGGGCGAGGGGGAGGGGCCAGCTGTGATAGGGACAGCGTTTTCTGAGGGAAGTAGAAATGACTGTACATTGCACATGAAGTAAAGCTAGTCTTGGACTAAACTGCAAAGTCAATGGCGTTTCACCACTAAGAACAGTATTTAGTCTGGGGTTAAAGGAATACTCTGGCAGTTTTGTAAACTCAGTCTCTGTTTGCTGCATCTGTAGCATATAGTTGTTTACCATGGCTCAAGTCCTGAATGGGCAGATGCTGAAGGCTGCCCATTTTACATTTGGTATGTTTTGAGTCAACAAGTTTTTTGTTCCTTCTGTTTATAGTTAACACTTTATTGGTAACTCCTAATTTAAGGGGTACCTACATAGGGCTTCATAACAAATGCAAAAGCGTTGAATAATGTATTTATAAAGCAATACTTGAATATTTATGAACAGCTTATACCAGTAATTGCAAGATGATATAAATTGTTTTATGAAGTAAATGACACTGTATTCACATTAAGGGTCTTAAACTAAAGTGAAAGTTTAATGAAAGTTTGTTCCATTTATAACTGTTATGAAGCACCATTCCCAAAAAGGAAAGAGGCAGAGGCCCAGTTAAGATTTGCTCTTGAACCATAGCGATCACTTTTCATATGTACTTTCTCATATATGTGAATTTTATACATATATATATATATATATATATATATATATGCATGAGCTCTTTATAAATGCATTAGAAGTTAAAAAAATATTTTACTTAATGCTCATATCTGTTATATAATGTGTTTTGTAGTCCTCAAGAAGGTTAGGACTAATTAATACATTAGATACATTTATTTATCAGTTTTATGTATTTGTACTTAAGTTTAAGTACAAGAAGTGTTGATTTGTGTGGTTGAAGACATGAACAATTTTCTTCATGTCTGCAGCCAGATAGGTCTCCTTAATAGAACTTGGTTATCAAAATAATATAGTATCATTAACTGCAATTATTCACGGTACATATACTTTTGATACTTAAGTACATTTAAAAGCAAGTCATTTTGTACTGTTTTACTCAATAGAAATATAGACAGGGGACTTGCATTTTACCCAGGGAATTTTACTTCATATCAAGTACAGACTGGAATTTGTATATTCATGCATAACAGGAAAATATACACAAAAATATAAATATATATGTGCCCTTAACTAGGCCTCTACCTTTCAAGTTCCACTGCAATGTCATCTCAGTGTCAGTGATACTTTGTGTCATCCTGCAATTGCCGGTATTGGCTGTTTGTAAATACTCACGTATTGCTTTACAAGTACTTCATAAATGCCTATGTAGATAACCTTCAAATAAAGTCTTACTGAAATTACTCTTTGTGGTACAGATGCAGCTGACAGAGGTTAGGTTGAAAAAAACACTGGAGTAATCTTTTCATAATCACATCATCTAATCATTCTTTAATTCACATGGCTTCATTTCTACAAACAGGATGGAAGTTTCCTTTCCAGTGGCCATTCGAGTGGGCATTGATGGAAAATAAGAGAGTGGCTGAAGATACAGCAGTAGCTTTGTAGCTGTTCCCTCAAATACAACACCCTCCCACCACAGCAGTCACTCATACTGGGCTCATCGGTTCAAGGGAGTGTGCTGAAGGTTTGGCAGGACAGTCTGACCTATATATATGTGTGTTCATCTACATATATTTATATACTATGTACAATTCAATACATACATCCATACATCTCCATGACTGAACTCTCAGGGCCGACGCAGTAGTGGAGTATTGCTGATGGGTTTGTACAGTGTTGAACTATAAAGCCAGCAGATGGAAAGCCCAGCAGTTCCACCACACAGAACCTAAAGGTGGGCAACAGCCAGAATGGACAGGGACATCACACATCCCTCACACACGAACACTAGTAATAAGACCACTCCAGACACACTCACGTACATCGCCCTATATAGAAAACCCCTTATAAACTCATACTCAAGCTAATCCTTATTCCCTGAAAGGACTCTACCATTGGTTACACTTAGCAACATTCAGAGAACTATGGATAAATCACTGACACAGAAGTTTCAGTGCTGATAGAGAGTGTAAGATGAGAAGGGAACGTGAGCAGAGGAGGCATTATTGCTAAAATCGGGATAAAAGTTCCCTTTATTTGTTAGAAGTGTGTGAAAATGGGAGGGAGAGATTGCCACCTAGCACAGCACTGAACAAATCCTCCAGTAAAAACAAAGCCAGGACTAAAGAGGACAAAAACCTGCTTGCAAGTAACATTAACATTATTAATGTTAATAAATTATTATTGGACATTATTCAGAAAGCACCACGATAGATGGGACAAAAAAATTAAAGAAAAAATGAGAAAGAAAAACCTACGTGCTTTTTTTGTGCTCCGTTAAATCATCTGACTTTCTTCACTGACATTTAGTAGAAGTAGTACTATGAAAATGAAGTGGCTGGTGAACAGACAAAGGAGACACAGCATACAGAGGGTCAAGGCCCAGCCCATACAAAAAGTAATATACTAAGATTAAATTACAATATATTCATAGTTTATGTTTAGAACATACTTTCTAGCTTTCATATTTTCTATTATTCATGCAGTACTGTGCAAAAGTCAAAGACTAACTTTTCATTTGTGGAATTTCCAGTCACTTTGCAGTATAGCATCAGCCAAAAAAGCCAAAAACATTTAATAAAAAATTACACAGAGACCTCAACAACTAAATATCAAAAGTTTCAGTATTTACTGTGTCCACGTTTTGCCGATATCACAGCATCCATTATGTAAGAGACTTGCTTTCGATTTTTCAAAGAAATCTGCAGGGATATTTTTCCCCACCTCCAAAGTTCAGTCTTAAATGTTGGTTGCATTTCCTGCTTATCATGATCCAAAGTAATCTACCTTACACATTAGACTCATCAATCCATAAAACTTAACTCAAGATCTCAGATGTTCAGTTTTGATGTTCTAGTGCAAATTTTCTTTTTCTCAGTAATGGCTTCTCGATAGCCAGAAGAAAAGGACAGAAGCACCGGTGGATTTTTTCAGATCTGAAGAAAAAATGGAGCTTGATTTTCTCCTCTCTCAAATCTGAAACTTAAAGGTACTGTTTATCTGATGATGAAAGTATTGGTGGTCTACCAGGTCTTGTGCAGTTGTTAGGAGTCCCATTTTCTCTATATTGTTTTTCTCTGCATATTTTCTCTCTATCATTTTTTTGAACTACAATTTTGGAAACGTCTGTTTTTTTAATATATTGTTCTTTGACTTTCTCCTTTCTCATCCAAGTGGATTATCTTATTATTATGTCTCCTTCAGCTGTTTTAGATGCACATAAGAATTTTGAGAAAACCTGCAAGGCAGTTAAGGTGTGTTTGGGTAGTCACTTGTGCAACTTAGTCTCTCTCTGAAGGGAAATGAAATGTCAATGACTCCTCTGGGAACAGCTTTTGTTGGGAGGATGCAGCTGTTACTCGCTGGTTTTAAGAGTTAAAATGGCAGTAGAGTGCACAAAAACAAAGAGTGGATAAATTAAATACCGACAGATTTAATATTATAATTAGTGTTGGAGGCTTGTGTAACTCTTCCTGACAATGAAAACTGAATAACTTGTACATACTGGCTGATTCGACTGGAAAATTGAATAAACAAAAGGGCTTATTAAGTCTCTGGCTTTTGCACAGTACTGTATAACAATATATTTCATTTTCTGAGCTGCCCTCTCTCTTAATCACTCCTGATAACACATAGTCAGAAACATGGAGGACGTGATGCAACGGAGACAGAAAAGCTGGAGCACAAGAGGATGACTAAGCAGTTACTGTTGACCTCCAGCCTGCCGACTCCTCTCCATACACCAACTATCAGCTGCCAGTTCATTTACTTTAATGTGGAGATGTACCAGAAATGAGAAAAACATAAAAACAATGAAAAAGAAAAAAGATAATAACGATAACAACAATCACAAGCTCAAAACAGAACACGGAGGAGAGTCGGCTTGGTCCGCGAAACAGACGTTAAAGAACGACCATAGTCATTGAAAAAAACCTGTGTACACAGCTCTCACAACATACCTCCCTCTATATATATATATATATATATATTTTATATATACGGAATATATACAGAAACATCTTCTGATTTTACATAGAAATAATCATAAAACTTCCGTCATTTGTCAGCTTTTTTAACAATGGACAAGGTTAAAGACCTACACGTTGCTACAGGTGATGTCCCTGTATCGCTTTTAGTGATGGGGTGATGGGAATAGATGATTATCTGTACTATTCATCATTTACTACACTGGCTTGCTTCCTCATGCTCCATTATGGAGGTGGAAGGCCTTTGGAATGGGCAGTATTAGACACGTACGGAAGATGGTTTGGAAAGGTTTATAAGATTTTTTTGTTCCAATTTGAAGAATGATGCTGGTGTCCAGTCATAGTACTAATAGAGAACTGAGAAAGAGATAGATGAAAAGAGAGAGAGGTTATAAATGATAAGACATGAATTACCCTAAAATGGGATCTAAAATACAAAAGCTGAGGGACAGGTTTAAAAACTCTTTCGGAGGCCAGTAACAGTAATTAAGTAGTCATTTATGATGAATAGTTCAATAGTTCAAGGTTTTAATCTAATGAGTGACAACAGGGGAGCCTATAGGTTCACAATACGGCAATGCGGCCGGCACCTCCGTTTACACACCAACACAAAGAGCAGCACACTTCCTCTATACACTGAGTCTTCAGTCTTCTAGAGCGACCATCCCTTTTACTGGGTCCTTCACTCTCATCTGAAAGAGCAAGAGCAGGAAAAAAGTGAGAGATTCCGTCATTCCTTTTGTCAGTACTAGCTTCACTCTATCGTCGAGCACCAGGTGTCTTCATAACTGCTGAAGCTGGCTCCTGCTCTGCTCAGCTGCTGCTTTTGTCCTCGGACTCAGGGCCTCATTATCAGCCTCGCTCAATTATTCAGCAGCTTTGCTGCAGGTTAACTGGGTTTTGTGTGCTGGAAGGTAATGCAGCCCAATAGACTAAAAGTCTTACACTGCGCTGCTCATGCATTGTGTTTCCTGATAGAGCTAGCAAAATCAGCCAATATTAATGTTAATATATTAATGGTTTTCTCAGATTTATCAACATTAGCATAAGTCTTGCCAGTAACAGCTTTTTAAATGTCATTTAAGAAAACAAAATTCATTTGTGAGATTGACTTATTAGTTGAAACAGACAGTGTACTTTAAATGTGCTCCTGTTTGAGAGTTCGAAGTTTTGAGAGTTCAATTTTTTGCGAGTTTGTTTACCTTTTTTAAGATAAAGTTATAAGGTAGAGCTGGCTCAAACAGAGGTTTATAGGCTTTAAATACTCTGTGCTTCTAAACAAGTACTTGAACACTCATTTTCAAAACAATATTTATATTTCAGAATAAACTACAAATTTAAGTATGTTTGTGGCAGGATTTCAAATATATCCAACAGCATATCAATTGTGTATACTGGTGATAGCACAAATGAACTGAAATCAGCCATGGTGTAAGTGATCCTTGTATAATATTTACATATTGTATATTGTATAATATAACCCTTTAAATATTTACATATTTGAGTTAGTTAACACCACTAATTTTCCTAGTTTGAAGCCATGAGTGGGTTGTGTTCAGTATTGTGTGTGCATGTGCACTAGTTGTATTTTAGGCTATTTTTGTTTTTCCCTACATGGTTATGTCTTCCACACATGTCATTTGTCATGTATAAGCTGGGTCTAATCTTGGCATCAGTCCAGCTGTAAAACTGTGTCAGTCCATTATTTTATGGGCTGGCTAGGTGTCTGGCACCTGTGCCCAAGAAATAAACTTCAATTCTCCAGACATACGGCTAGTTTCTGTGATTTGGGACAGGGTTTGGATTCTGCAAAATGAAAAAAAAATCTTTTCAAGTGCCAAACTTGAGCAAATGAATTTATCACAATTACCTTAAAAACATTTATTAATCATGGTAAATTTTTGTAATTGTCTGAAAGCCCTCATTTAAGCTTTAAAATGATTAATCAAACTTGCCAGGCCTTGCTGGAATAACAACCTCTTACTGCAAATGTTACCCTGGGCAATTGTTTGATTATTTGTAGTACTCGTAAACATGAGTTTTCTGAGGTATGTTTCCTCTTTAATGGCCATGTGGAAAGTGATTCAGTTTGGTGTGCTCTGAGACAAGGAGACATGGCATGAATTCAGCTATAATTTATTTATTTCATTTTCCATATATTACTAGATACTAAATAGAGAAAGACTACTAAATAGTATTTCAATTATTCAGGCCAGCCCTATTATCCTGAGATGCGTTGAAGTTAATTATAAGCAGATAATATTTATATTTGCATTATTAAGGATTTAGTGAGATTTTGCTGTTCATTTTAAATTTGACAACTGAGAACTGGCATTATTGCATTTAATCTTATGATCAACTGTTTATTATCGATTATTTCAGTGAGTTAAGCATTTTAATAAAAAAAAATTTAATAAAAACTGACTGACTAAAACTGCCACAACCTACTTTTTAATTGCTATAATATTATCCTTTTTTTATTTTTGACATTTATGATTAAAATGTCGTTATCTGTGGCAAAATCTTTCAATATCAGTCAACCCCTAGATAAGGCCTGATCATTATGCTCATTTATTTTCCAGGTTTTCTATCAGAATGAACCTTTCTACGAACATGTGTAATTAATATATGTCTACAATTATGTAAAAACATCAATTAGTTTCGTCAATCCATTAAAATAAACAGATGACAGTAGTCTGATATATGTGGATTCTGTCTCACACCTCATCCAGCTCCTTCCTGGTCTCCTCCTCCATCCTGCGAATGTCCTCCATGTTCAGTTCGATCCAATTATCAATCCAGCAGAAGAGCTGCCGGTGAAAATTAGTGAACAAACGCTTCTCTTGCTGTCAGACAGATAGAAAGAGGGAGAGAGTGAGAGAGAGAGATAGAGAGACAAAGAGAAACAAGTTACAACAGCTGATGATTGAGGCATCATCTCAAACTGCATAATTTGCCATGTACAGATGAATGTATTGTTAGTATATTAGTGATCTACTGTATGTATCACAAGGAAGTTCATCCATGGGCTCAGGGTGGACACATCTTCTTTAACAGTTTCACTCAGGGTCCACAAGAGGGCACACAAGGTAGCATTCAGTGTTTCATTTTTGTGCTTCTCTTCAGGTGCACACTAGTAATGGGCATTCTGGCTTATTTCAGTGAGTCAGATAAATTGGCTCAGCTCAACTATAAGAGCCGAATCTTTGGGCTCCCAAAGACTTTTTGTTCAGCACCACTGTCTGTTTTTCACAAAATTTGCCCAGTTGGCCATATGGTCTATCATTACATTTTCAACAAAACCTTAAAACCTTAGTCTACCTTCTATTTAATCAACATAAATGGCCTTATGTTTGTTATTAAAATAAATGTCAGATAAGTAGCTTAACCAGATACATTTTAAGAGGCAGAATTCACAATATAGGCAGATGGGCAAAGTGCAGCAAATATACAGCTACAAATTTTGTGAAAACCACCAAGAACAAAACCACAGACAAACTAAGGGGCGTATGTTCCAAGGAAATCCCAGAGGGGGGTCAGCTACAGCGTCATTAAATCTACCCATTTGTTTTGTCTTAACTTATATACAAAAACAGCTCTCCAATGCAAGTCAGCTTGTCATGAGCCAACCTGTCATGAGCAACACATCACTAACACAAAGGCCTTCAGTAATAGAAGCTCACCTTCTGAATGAAGTTCTCCACTTTGTTTTGCAGCCCCCACCACTTGAACTTGACTGTAACCAGTTTGTAGGCACACATGTGCGGACAGTCTGTCTTTTTGGGGAGCTCCTTCTGCAACCACACACAGACACGGACAGACATGCAGAGTTTAAAAATTACCCTGTAATGCGCACCTTTTTAATCGGTGTTGGGATTAAAGATATGGCTCAGACAAAAATATTTTTTTTCCTCTTAATAAATGTAGTAAATTAGCCATGACACATTTGGTGTTCTGAATGCTTCTTTGGCTTTGCATTGGAGCTACAAGGCTAATGTCGCTAACAAGTAATGGAGATTTATAGTTAGCATTATGCAAACTGCCAGATTAATCATCATACACTTGTCTCTAATCGGGTCAAGCGATTAAACAGCATGGCTGTACAATGCAACAGTGTGACCTTTATGGGTGTGTGCTTGTGTAGTGCATCTCCATTCAAGTATACTGTCAAGTCTTAGTGCTAATGAAAATATTAGTCAATTTTCTGTGGATTATTCATTACATTTCATATGCAATATCGAACAACATTTCCCCACTGCCAAGTTATCTCTGAAGCACAGTCAGGCAAACTGCACTGCAGGTTAAGTTCTAGTGTTTACAGTAACTGTAGTCCATCATATAGTATCTAGTACAAATGGTAGTACATAATGCCCACAAGTTGTTCAGTTAGGGGCTGTAATGTCATATATAAAGCAAGCAACAATTTAGGATGTTATCGTTTACCCACAAATACGTCTGCATAAATACGCTTGCTGTATCTTTATCCTCCTCTAAATAGTTGATTAAATTAAAAAATCACATATTAAATAACACTGAGCCTTCCCATTTTGAAATTTGGGACTGCAACCATACATGCATTTGTGAGATTGCACAGGTTTAGGTTTATCGTCTGACTCTGAGAGTGAAACACTATTTGAGTGCTAATAGCATCCCCTTCTGCAGAACCTGACTTAATGTTGAGAAAAAGGGATTATGAACATTAAAATTTCTACATGCTGCTTTTGTTTTTCACAGGTAAAATTGCTTCCCCTTTTGCAATTTTTTTAGAAATAATATTTTGTCATGTTTGCTAAAATTTTATTTTATTTTGTGCTATGACCACTCAAGAATTTGCTCTAAAACGTTCTAATGTTAGCTACATTAGACTCCAGGGCAAAAATGAGTAAACTTCAGATATCAAACATGTCTTAGCTGACTGACTACATTTGGAGTAAGGGCTTAATTGTGTAAATTAGATTTTTGATAGAGCCATCTCTTCAAACAATATACTGTGTACCTTCCAGTCAGGTCCCAAGGGCCCTCGGCCAGTCTTGACAGATTTGAATTTGGAGGGGTCTTCGTCTGGTTTGTAATCCTGAAGGAGGCAGCACCACAAGTTACATCACAAAATCACATGTCAGCTGCAAAATGGCAGGAGGGGACAAAAGGTCACAACAAATATGTTTAGCTCTTGAGAAAAGCTCCAGTGCTCTAAATTAATGGATCTAAATGCACTATTTTCTGAAATCACTGTGCTCAGTTCGACTCATTGGATAATTATCAAGGCTTTCATGAGCTGATTCAGGTGGGTTAGAGAAAGAAAAAACACAAAGACATGCAATATAGGTGATCACCTTGACTGAGATTGAGGATTACTGCTCTATAAGCAGCACACTCAGTGCTAGTACAACAAAGTCCAAATGACTAGAAGCAATACCCCAAATCAGAACTGCTTGTATATACCGCAAAAAAGCTACTTTATTGTCACAGTCCTAATTCTTATGTGGACTATTTTTCAAGAGTTTAGCAGAACCAAAGATAATGTCACCTTTACACACTATAAAAAGTTACAGAAAAGACAAAATGGGGTCCAAGTGTCTGAGACCACACTGAAAATCTGTTTTTTTTTCCTTTAAACCTGGAAATAAACAACAAAGATTTAACATTTTGGAAAATTTAAAACAAACAAAAGTTATGACGACTAAAATAAAGCAGAACTATTCAAGATTATGCACTGTTTCTAGGTCACTATTTAAATTTTGGAAACTTGGTGAGACTAACCATGTTGAGACCATTAAAGATCTCTTCTGTTGGAATATGTGTGCAGATGATTCTACAAAATTTAAACACACTCTAGCGGATTTGACCAAAATGCTAAAATTTATGTTGAAATTTCAAAAATTCTACTTTTCACTTAAATTGTTACATTACTGATTTAATTTGTAATTAAAAACTGCAAAAAAAGAAAAAGCAAAATAGATTTATTTTCACTAGTAGTCTCAGTCTTTTGGACCCCACTGTAAACAGAGAAAGGAAGGACATGCCACATTAAATAAAAAAAAAAAAACATCTGATAAAATCAAGCACTTTTCAAGCTCATCTGATGTAGTGAGAGGACTACAAGCCAGAATAACTATCTTAAGGATAATGATAAGAATAGCTATTTTTTTTTATTTATTTTCTACCAGGTTAGGGAGCTAGTTGAGCTTCACTGTTCTGAAATCACAGGCTTGGACCAAATCTCTGCAAGCATGTTTTTGAAGTTACAGCAGAGCAGCTTATTTGCCATCGCAAGGACGTTTCATATCTGTAAAACAGCAACTTTGTAGGAAAAAAGAAAAGCCATTAACTGTCCTGGTTTAGCCTAATTATCACAAAACTTCAGGCGGTTTAGGGCTTATCGAGTGATGTGAAACGTGTTACACAACAACAGAGTATAATGCAGGCCTTAAAATGGGAACAGTCGATTTACAAAGAAACAAGCGAAATCAAACTAAAAGCAGACCAATATTCTTAACACTGATTAGTGATCGACGTTTCTATTGATAGGGCAAAATTCTCTTGAACTTACAACACAGCTGAAACTATCCTTATATAACAGCAAGAGCTGTTGTGCAAAGTATAGACTGTTTTCAGGTCTGAGTGTGCTGTCAAGAGTAAAGGAGATGTGCAAATAAACTAGTCTAAAAAAACTAGAAAAAAACATACTTTATTTAAGAAAATATCTCTTAACTTACACAATGTTAAACAAAATCCCTGCGTGTCTAACTTTCTAAAACTTTTCTCAATCTGCAATGAATCTCTAATCGCCTCCAGAGCCATCCAGTAAGCTACTTCTCTGGAATTATATACGTATTTTATGTGCTGTCCCATGTTTATATTAAAGAGGAATTCTAGTACTTTTTCTGCATAATTAAACTGTTTGCAAACAAAGTAATTCAGAGTGGTTTGAAGTGAAATGTTCTGTTCTAGAGAAACTTATCAAGTCATAATTGTTCACAGTGGTGATAAGAACCAGACAACGAAAGCATTTAATGCATCTTAAAGCTACATCACAGAAAGTTATTACACAAAACAGTTATGAATACGCTGCCTGATGCCTGAGAGTTTAAAGATGAGGTTTTGGTCTAAAACATAAAGAAAAATTTTTGTTTGTTTTTCAAATTTACTACTATTTGACCATTATCAACATTACATATAAAACACAAAAGAAGCCATATAAGTTCACTGGCCATTTTGGATAGTAAATTATATGACTATATTTCTGTTGTAGACATCACGACCCCTGGTTCCTATTACCACCACTGTAAGAGAACTAGAGTCAGTAAGTTTCTCTACAATGAACCATTTCACATCAAAATTTTCTAAATGCCTTTGTTCACATTTCAGTGACAGAATCATGCAGAGATTTCAATCAAACTAATGGAATTCCACTTTAATACGTATATTTTTATACTAGCCAAAAAAAATACAATCTAATCCAATCTCTTCCTCTACCTGCACAGCCACTGCCCTTTACACTGTATGAAAATTTCAAGATTAATAGAAATCCTTCAGAATTAAAGAACGTAAAGAACGATTTTGCCTTTGTTTTCTTTTGTTTGTTTGTTTTAGACAGCAACAATATGCAGACCAAAGAATTCTTTAAGTTTATACTTTTACCTATTGTCCAGATAGCCAATCATATACCCTAACAAGACTACAATACACTCCATTGACCTGTTTGCTAAGGTTTTAACCAATATATGAAAATTTAGTCCATAGTCATTTGTGTTCACTTACTACAGACACTTTTAGAAAGTTTACATTTTTGTAAAACAATCTAACAATCTTGGCAAATTTCCCAAACTGGAAATTTTTAATATTGATAGGTCAGAGCAGTAGCCTGCTGTTTTGGTTAAAAGGTCACCATCAAATGGGGGCACATATCATCTCTCGCTCTATAATAGATGCTTTATGTAGTCTAATAAATGGAGCTATATTTGTATGACCTCTACCATCCTCCCAACCACACTGTCCTAAAACCTGCTCAACTACCTTACCTTGGGTTCTACCTGACTTCTGTCAGCAATGTCGATATACACCACATCCACCTTCTTCCAGGTGTCAGGATCCAGACCATGAACCTGCATGAACCAAGCAAACACATACTCACTTCCTCTGAGAGAGAATAACCACAGTAAGAGCTCTTAGCAGCAGTAGCCTTTTAGCCAAATAGGGGAAGTTACAAGAGGAGTACTCACGTTCTCCAGATGGCCCATGTCAGGTTTATGCCATGTCTCTATCTTGATGAGGAAATTCTCTTTCATGTACTCGTTCTATAGATTTAGAGCATCAGTCAGCAAAATGTTATTAGTACCTATTAATTACGTTTTTCTAAAGTGATTCATGAGTTATGCTGCTTTGTGTTTGTCTCAGAGCTGCTGGCTGCCACCCCACACTCTGACATTTACTGCACTGTAACCTCAATGTTGAAATTTATTGATGAGACTGAGTGAAGAAGACTATATTCACTATATATATATATATACATATATATATATATAGTGAATAATCAGTGTTGTCAAAACAAAACCTTATATCTCCAAAATGATAAGTTTACAGGAGAAGAAGAAAAAATTTACTTTTAAAGTCAATGGAACCAGACTTTTTTCCAAAAGATTTTGGGTCATTTCTCTTGGTCCATTTATCAATTTATACACAATGTAAAGGGCAACAGGCATTTTCAAATAATGTCAAAAACTGACAAAAATGGAGATACAAGGTTTGTATATATATTATAGTGAGTTCAGTAAGTGTATTGATTAAGTCCTTTATGCAAAAGCTTAAAGCAAAAATAACTGTTCATGGTAGATTTACTGACACTTGAGTGACATAAGAGCAGTCTGGACAGTCTTAGATCATATTAGTAGACGTTGTATTAGTAGACATCTCCTCTGGCCTCCTAGATTATTGGCTCTTATTTTTTATTGTTGTCAATAATCTTTAAATAAAATGATTTTGTGTTATAATATGCCATCTTCATGTTAAAAGTAGGTTTGGATAGATGTTCCAGGTATTTAATATTTATTATGTATTATTGTTATTAATACAGTAGTCCATTACGCTTATGGACTACTGCATGTAGTGCTATCATCAGCCGACTGTGTGCAGAAGAGCACAATGTTTAAGCTACATTAAGTCACTGACCAACAAAATAACAGGCATCTCCATTTATTGCTATTTTTTTTTCTACATTGTTTGAACACAGCAGCTGTTCTCACCATTGTGTGAAAATTTAATGATGAATGGACCAATAGAAATGCTCCAAAACCACCTGGGGTAAACTCTATTTATATTAACTTACATTAAAAGAAAAGATTTTTTTCCTTCTCCTGTCATTTTAGAGATATTTTTAGAGATTCATCTTAACTGTTTTAAGTAAGTAGCTGTATGTCCATTCGTGACATGCATTCTTTGAGTTAGTGGTACTCTAAGGCAGGTAGGGCAGGCAGTCTACAATATATTTTAGTAGCCACATGTGTAAGTTTGATTTATAATTACTTTAAAGGTTTAATAATGACATAACTACTCTGAGCGATGGGAATGTTTTGAGTGATGTGTGTAAAACTGACCTCAAATCTCTAATTTCTACAAACATCTAACTTTTTTATTGGATAAGCTTAAAAACATTATGGCAACTGACTGTCATAGTAGGTCATGTACTCACTGTGATGACTGCAGGAAGAGAAGGAACAGCATAGAAGAGAAAAGAAAGACATAACAACAAATGTCATAATTTTAACATTGTAATCCAGGGGGGTTTTTATGTCAAACATTTAGTAATGTGGTGAGTGTAAACATGCATTTAGACACCTGTGTGTTTGTATGTGTGTGGATACACCATAACAGGGTAATCTCAGCTCCCTGTGCTGTAACTCCACTCCCACTCTGCTCAATCAGTTAATTATTTAACAATCAGACAGAGAGAGAGAGGAGGAGGAGGAGAACTGTGCCTGTTGGTCTAACCTGTGCGGCAGTATGGGTAGGCATTCCAGGCTTTCTCGTGGATGTTAAGAGCTGATGCTGGTGCCAGCATTCGCACAAAAGACGGAACTTTACTGAAAGACAAAAACAAGACCCAAAATATATTGTCAAAAAGAGCCTTGTGTGCCAGAGCATGTGTCAGAGTTGGTCCATCTGTGTGTGTGAGGTAAGGGCTCAGGTTAGGTTTAATTGTTTTATATATATATATATATATATATATATATATATATATGAAACTAGTATTATATATGCATATATATGTATATATGTATGTGTATATATATATATATATATATATATATATATATATATATATATATATATATTTAATTAATTACATATTCAAAAGTATGAAAAAGTTGTCATTGAAAAGAAGTTTCCACACATGCTCTACAGAGAACACATTTCTGCACATTTTAGTACACATTTAAGTGCACATTTTAGTACACAATTACTGTTGGCTTGTACACAAATCATGGCATATTTATTTATTTATTTTCCAATATGCAAATCATGCACTCAAATGTACAGAAAAATGACATATTTAAGTTTGTTCTTTGTAAAGAAAATCAACACTTAGAAAATCAACAAAGTATTCTTGTATCCAATCATGTATAATGCATATTAGAGCCTCACCGATATGGACATTCTGGCCAATATTGATACTAATTTAGAACTGATTATAACTGATTTATAACTGATAACTGATAATATTGGCAATACTAGTTTCAGTTAAACAGTGCTTTACCTACAGATGTGATTGTCAGTTCTCAATTATCACACATCTTAACCCCTGAACATTTATCTACGAAGGCTTATTATTTAGTTACAAAAGGGACTTCAATGCAAACTGGCTGAGCTATTCTTGAGTTATAGAAGTATGTAATAAAATGTTGGGCACACCAGTGGGCCCTGGCCATTTAAGGGGTTAAACAACAGAAACAGAAAGAGTGTTAAAAATATACTGTGGCACTACAGAGCTACCTAAGATAATGTGTGGTTTTTGTTTAACAATAACACCGCAGGTGGCTAATAATTACTGATGTTATCTAGGCATTGGTCAGGCCGACCACGTATGGGACACCTATACATGTATGACCCCGAATCCTGACATAAGTATAACAGGCACCTGTGTGTGTATGCGTGTGTTTGTGGTAACTCACCTCTGCAGGTGGTAGATTTTGTGTGTGTACTGGCCTTTCTCGCCATCTTTCTCGTACGGTTCGTTCTTCAGCACCTCCACTCCTTCTCCTCCTCCTGTCTCATTCTTGCTGGCCTCTGCTACTGAGTACAGCTGACCGACCTGGTACTGTACGACACACACACACCAAGGACTGTGGTTTACAATATGAATGAAACACTTAACACTTCCCCAGTTACCATACAGGAGCATGTTATAGTTCTACAATTACAGACTGTAGTCCATCTGTTTCTCTGCATACTTTGTTAGCCCACTTTTACCCTGTTTTTAAATGTCCAGGACCCTCACAGGACCACCACAGAGCAAGTATTATTATTAAATTATTTGGGTCATGGATCATTCTCATCACTGCATTGACACTGACATGATGGTGGCATGTTAATGTGTAAAAGGGGGCTAACAAAGTAAGCAGAGAAACAGATGGACTACAGTCTGTAATTGTAGAACTACAAAATGCTCCTATATGGGTAAGTGGAGCAGATAAATTGGACAAAGAATGCAGATACAAGGACATGTACTTAATGAAGTGGCCGGTCGGTGTATATTCAAATAATATTCTCAAGTAAGAAAACATTCAAATCTACAATTTAATCAGGGCTGCGCAACATATAGTTTGTTAATGTTTATAGCAGCACTGGCATTGGTGATATTGATATCTTGACAGACTTAAAAATCCAAATGTACCCTCTAAACAATTAATAAATATTTTGTTATATGTTGTGAGCATCCTGACCAACCTAGGTTGTTCCAGATGAGTTTCTGTAGGTGTTTTAATGAATCAAGGCTTTGACCCAGCAAACATAAATCATTATGGTTGTTGCAAGCCAATCTGTCACCATGTCACATCAAGGGTTCACCTATGTGTTTTAATATTTAATAATTAATATTTAAACCACTGTTATTCTTTTCAAAAACTTGCTATTTCCATAAGTGTTTCAAATAGATATACAACAATTTGGACTGAAACTCATATATTAAAGCAATAAGCCACGAAAGACTGTGCGTTACTGCGACTTTATCACAGGAAGGGTGTCTAAGTGGCTTATTGTTATCATATAACATATATCATATAACGGTGGCCAACTTGAAATATGATAAAATACACAACTGTTCAGAAAATAATAATAATTATTATTAATAACATAAACAATTACTCCGCCAAGAAATGTAGTTCCTTTAGAGTATAGTATTGTTACTAAGAACCATGGGCCGCTGCATGAGGAGAACGTCCATCGCTGTATATTGTTTTAATTTCGTGAATTTTTAAAACTTTTTCTTGTATAACAATGAACATATGATAACACAGCACTGTTTAATGCAAAAACTTTCACTTTATAAGTACTTTTTGGTCACCAAACTACCACCATGAGCCTTATTTGGCACTGATCCAGCGGCGCCCTCTTCTCGTACTGGGGCTGAAACTCAAACGGCTCCCTGCTCTCTACATAGTGCACTACGTAGGAATTTAAATACTGGATCCTGCAGCCCAACAGAGCAAATATAGCTAAGAAATAGTGATTTGGGACTCAGCCACATCCATACTCAACAAATGATACACTATTTGACTGTAGAGGCTTGACTTTCTAAACTTTCATATCTAGCACACTATTATCGGAGTACAGAACCATTTGGGATTCAGCCTCGGTTTGACTCTACTTCTGACTGAAACACGGACATTTGAAGCATGTAATCCATTCAAGTGACATTTTTTTTAGACGTTTATACTGCCGTTTCATAGTTAACTAAGTACTTTAATCCAAGCCTGTGGTATTAATGATGGAGTTGTTAAGGCTGTTAGCTATCTTTTAGCATGTTAGCTAGCTGACCAGCCTAGTTCTAGTTAAGAACATAAGTTGCCAGCCCCTCAGTTTATACAGAAAATGGGTTCTTACTTCAGCAATATAACATTACTCAGTGGTCCATAGGAGCAGCATGAGAGTCAAAGATTATTCCATTAACAGCACAAGTGTTTTTTCGTGCCGTGGCTCAGTTATACAGAGGTTAGTTGTTGTAAGGCAGTCATAAGTGTGGGTATATGGTGGATTTTACAACAGCTTCCAATGCAGCTCAGCCAACCAGATTTCATAATGTTAGTTATATCATAATTGCAGTATGTAGTAATATAGTTGCAGTATAGAATTTTGTACATATGGTGCAGCCCTAATTTAAATCTAACAATTTCATGACAGCACTCTGGTCCTCTCTCCATTCTTGCTTTCACTTGTTTCATGTTTCACACTGTAAATAAAGAACAATGTCCTCTTTCACTCCCTAATCGCATCTACCACTGTGCACAATATCCTAAGAACACACGCACTGCATGGAGCAATCTGTTTCAAAACAAGTGCAAAAATGAGCATGAAAAGGAACAGAAAGGTAATTGTGTACAATGAAAGGGGGCTCTGGAAAAGGCTTTGATACACTAAGCTGATTTCACTCTGACACGACCTTATGCCTTGAGCCCTGAGAAAAACCTCACTGATGTCTGTCACAAGAAACAACTGCACCGATACAGGCTGTGCTGTACGAACATTCCAGTACTAAGCAACACAGATCTGCAATCAAATGTTCCACTGACTCACAGATCTACCGTGACAGTAAACAAGAGCATTCAAATGAAATTTACATCAGAATTATGCTAAGTATTCCTCCGGGTGACTCAGGCTTTTACACTAATAAAAAGAAATCAGTGTATGACCTTAATTAAATTAACACGTCCATTATATTATACAGAACAGAGTCAGCATATATGGATGATTATATCTTTACATAAAATGCAACTGACATTAATGTCGACATATATTCAGTTTGAGTTGGTTCATTTTTCTGAGTGCAGTCTACAATGGCAGCATAAAGTTGATCAATCTACTATTTTACATTCAGAGCACTGCAATATTAAAGTGATGAATATGTGTATTTGGTTGATGCAGTCAGTGATTTGGGCCCACTTAAAGCCAAACTGAAATAAAAATTTCTTTTTTTTTTACATTGTGTCTAGTCATATTAAGCGTGACTCATCATATCATATCATTTCGTTTAAAACACTCGTTCTCAAACTGGTCCTCAGGGACTCCAGATGGTCCACATTTTTGATCTATCCTTATGTGCTGAGGTTGGAGCAAAAACATGGGCCGTATGAGGGTCCCTGAGGACCGGTTTGAGAACTGCTGTTTAAAAGACAGAATTTTTGTTTTTTCCTCAATCTTCCATCAAATCCATCAAAGCATTTTCAACCATAAAAAAGCTCCGACAGCATATGTCATGGTAGGAAGGAAAATGCTTAATGATTTCAGATGCAGGTAAATAAAACTGCAAAAACCCGTCTTGTGAAGAGAAAACATCTTAAAATCTTGTCCGTATATCTAATATTCTCTCATTATGATGTTGTGAATGCTTCAAGAGAATTCAACCTATTTCTCAGTGTGTTTTACTTTACATTTTATTTAGCAATTCCATTGGCAGCTAATTTAGCTTTTAACACTCTCATAATGAGACGTATAAGATGTACTGGCTTGATTTAGGATGTTTTCACATCCCCAGATTTAATTGTACTGAAGTAAGGTAGATACCAGTTATTCACATGATTTAGCTAAATTTAGTGAGTGAGAAAGAGAGAGAGTGAGAGAGAGAGAGAGAGAGAGAGAGACAGAGAGAGAGAGAGATAGAGAGCAGCTCATGTGCAAGTCTGCATTTTCTGTGGTGTGTGCCTACATATGTATGTGTGCTCGTGACACAGGAAGCAATGCAGTCTTGTCTATTTTTAGCAGTATCATTCATACAACGCTGGCCAAGGAGAGGCAGAGGGAGAGAAAGAGGAAAAGAGGGAAAGGAAGCATCCTCTACTCCCTTTATTTTTAGAGCTGTGTCAAGGATTCCATGACAGGAAGATGAAAAAGTGGAAAAAGAGAGAGAGAGAGAGAGACAAAGAGAGAGAGAGAGAGAGAGAGAGAGAGAGAGGGTACTAGATGAAGGAGTGAGCGTATGAGGAGCACAATTATATCTTTTTATTCTGAAAAAAACGAACACAATAAAAACAGCAAAACTAACAGAACGTTGATGCATACAGATGAATATTACACTCTTGGGGTGTGTGTGTGTGTGTGTGTGTGCGCGCGCACGTGAGTGTGTGACGTTACAAAGCTTCCAGACACATCACTAGTCCAAACTCAGGCATCATCACACAGCCGCATCATCCTCCCTCAGCCAATCAGAGCTTACGTCTCCCAGCCAATCACAGGCCTCTAGAACTGCATGTCACTGTGCAGCACTTCACAAGAATCTAACCTGCTTCACACGCACACACACACAGAATCTCTAAAAAATACCTCAAAGACTGGGCTCTCACTAGGCAGAGTGATGTAGAGGGAGAGAGAGAGAAAATGAAGAGCCAATGAAAACAGGGCTGACAATAAAAAACAGCAGTTCAGTGTAAGAGGAGACTGGGAGGGGAAAAGGGAGGAATATTTGAGTGGTGGAGGAAGAAGAAGAAAGATGGCTTAGGATGTCTGGGCAGTGCACGGGTGCCATAAGGAGAGGGAAGATTAAGAAAAGACAGGGGCTCACAAAGACTGAGCCTTTTTTAGTGCCACCCCCGCTGTGTAAACATTCAGTGGTTTAGCCCCGTCACTGTATGAAGCCCAGATGTGTATGAAGAACAAGACTTTTGTTTTTAATCAGAATTGTGATGCTGGCAAACAGAAATCAGGCTTTAAAAAAATGGCAGGAAAAAAACAAAACAAAAAAAGGCAACCAAAACAGGGAAGACAGTATCAACTGTTGTTGTCAGAGCTGGGTTTTTAAGATAAACTTTAGCTGTTGATAGAAAGGAAGCTTATGCTATAGTAAGTACACCTGATACACTAAAATGATCTGAAGGAGCTGGCCAAACAAAACCCCATGACCTACTGCCAAGTCAAAAGCGCTATATACAATCTGTATTTGTGTTAAAACATCATGTTCTCTCAGCCACTGAAATGTATAAGTTTAACAAGAAGTAAAGGTGAAGTACAAAGTGTTCCACTGAATGCAATGACATTTTATTTAGAAACAACTTGCTTGTCCACCAATGAATGGTCCAGCTCTCATATAACATTTGGCCAACAGGGGTC